TATAACTAAAAGAAAATGCACAGAAACTAAAACAAAATGTAACTATACACAAGTTAAAACGAAAAGGAACTATACAAAAACTAAAATCAGAAGGAATTACATAGCAACTCAAACAAACTGAAACTATACAAAAACTAAAAATAAGAAGGAACTACATAGAAGCTAAAACAAAATGTAACTATACAAAAACTAAAACAAGAAGGAACTATACAGAAACTAAAACAATATGGAACTATACAAAAACTAAAACAATATGTAACTATACGGAAACTAAAACCAGAAGGAACTATACAGAAACTAAAACAAGATGTAACTATACAAAAACTAAAACAAAATGTAACTATACAAAAACTATAACAAAAAGAAAATACACAGAAACTAAAACAAACTGAAACTATACAAGAACTAAAACAAGAAGGGACTACACAGAAACTAAAACAATATGTAACTATACAAAAACTAAAACAAGAAGGAACTATACAGAAACTAAAACAAGAAAGAACTATACAAAAACTAAAATAAGTAGAAACTACATAGAAACTAAAACAAAATGTAACTATACAAAAACTATAACTAAAAGAAAATACACAGAAACTAAAACAAAATGTAACTATACAAAAACTAAAACAAGAAGGAACTATACAGAAACTAAAACAAAAAGTAACTATACAAAAGCTTAAATAAGAGAGAACTACATAGAAACTAAAACAAAATGTTACTATACAAAAACTTAAACAAGAAGGAACTATACAGAAACTTAAACAAGAAGGAACTATACAAAAACTAAAATAAGAAGGAACTACATAGAAACTAAAACAAAATGTAACTATACAAAAACTATAACAAAAAGAAAAACACAGAAACTAAAACAAAATGTAACTATACAGAAACTAAAACAAGAAGGAACTATACAGAAACTAAAACAAGAAGGAACTACATAGAAACTAAAACAAAATATAACCATACAAAAGCTAAAACAAAACAAAGGAATTCAAAAAAATGCAACTTCAAAGAAATAAAAACAAACTGCAGCTATACAGTAACTTAAATAAACTGTAACTAAACAAAAACTAAGAAGGAACTACACATAAACCGTAACAAACTGCAACTACAAAGAAACTAAAATAATCAACAACTACACAGGTACTAAACAAATTTGTTAGTACACAGAATTTAACACAACCTGTAACTACACATAAACTAAAACAAATGTAACTAAACAGAAACTAAAAGAAAAAGGAACTACATAGAAACTAAAACAAACTGAAACTATACAAAAACTAAAACTGGAAGGAACTACACAAAAACTAAAATAAATTGTAACTACACAAAAAAATCTAAAACAAAAAGGAAATACACAGAAACTTAAATCAGAAGTTGCTATACAGAAACTAACACACAGTGAAACAACACAAAAACCAAAACACACAGTGAAACAACACAGAAACCAAAACACACAGTGAAACAACACAGAAACAAAAAAAACGCATTGACTGCACAGACATCAATACACAGTGAAACTACACAAAAACAAACACACATTCAAACTACACAGAATCCAATACACGCATTGACTACACAGACTTCAATATACAGTAAAACTACACAAAAACCAATACACATTCAAACTACACAGAAACCAATACACGCATTGACTACACAGACTTCAATACACAATGAAACTACACAAAAACCAATACACATTAAAACTACATAGAAACCGTTACACGCATTAACTACACAGACTTCAATACACAGTGAAACTACACAAAAACAAATACACATTCAAACTACACAGAAACCAATAGACGCATTGACCACACAGACTTCAATACACAGTGAAACTACACAAAAACAAATACGCATTCAAACTACACAGAAACCAATGGACGCATTGACTACACAGACTTCAATACACAGTGAAACTACACAAAAACCAATACACATTCATACTGCACAGAAACCAATACACGCATTGACTACACAGACTTAATTACACAGTGAAACTACACAAAAACCAATACACGCATTGACTACACAGACTTCAATACACAGTGAAACTACACAAAAACCAATACACGCATTGACTACACAGAAACAAAAAACACACATTGACTACACAAAAACAAAAACACACATTGACTACAAAGAAACAAAAACACACATTGACTACACAAAAACAAAAACACACATTGACTACACAGACATCAATACACAGTGAAACTACACAGAAACTAATACACGCATTGAGTACATAGAAACAAAAACACACATTGACAACACAAAAACAAAAACACACATTGAATACACAGACATCAATACACAGTGAAACTACACAAAAACCAATACACGTTTTGAATACACAGAAACCAATACACGCATTGACTACACAGAAACAGAAACACACAATGACTACACAGAAACAGAAACACACAATGACTACACAAAAACAAAAACACACATTGACTACACAGAAACCAATACACACATTGTCTGCACAGACACCAATACACAGTGAAACTACACAAAAACAAATGCACATTAAAACTACACAGAAACCAATACACGCATTGACTACACAAAAACAAAAACACACATTGACTACACAAAAACAAAAACACACATTGACTACACAGAAACAAAAACACACATTGACTACACAGACACCAATACACAGTGAAACTACACAAAAACAAATACACATTAAAACTACACAGAAACCAATACACGCATTGACTACACAGAAACAAAAACACACATTGACTACACAAAAACAAAAACACACATTGACTACACAGAAACAAAAACACACATTGACTGCACAGACACCAATACACAGTGAAACTACACAAAAACAAATACACATTAAAACTACACAGAAACCAATACACGCATTGACTACACAGAAACAAAAACACACATTGACTACACAAAAACAAAAACACACATTGACTACACAGAAACAAAACACACATTGACTACACAGACATCAATACACAGTGAAACTACACAGAAACCAATATACGCATAGACTACACAAAAACAAATACACATTAAAACTACACAGAAACAAAAACACACATTGACTACACAGAAACATAAACACACATTGACTACACATACATCAATACACAGTGAAACTACACAGAAACCAATATACGCATTGACTACACAGAAACAAAAACACACATTGTCTACACAAAAACAAAAACACACAATGACTACACAGACATCAATACACAGTGAAACTACACAGAAACCAATACACGCATCGACTACACAGAAACCAAAACACGCATTGACCACACAAAAACACACAGTGACTACACAGAAACAAAAACACACATTGACTACACAAAAACAAAAACCCACAATGACTACACAGACATCAATACACAGTGAAACTACACAGAAACCAATACACAGTGAAACTACAGAGAAACTAATACACGCATTGACTACACAAAAAAATACACATTAAAACTAACCAGAAACCAATACACGCATTGACTACACAAAAACCAACACACAGTACAGGCATTGACTACACACAAAAAATCCACATTAAAACTATCCAGAAACCAATACACGCATTGACTTCACAAAATCAAAAACACAGTGAAACTACACAGAAACTAATACACGCATTGACTACACAAAAACAAATACACATTAACTACACAAAAACAAATACACATTAAAACTACACAGAAACCAATACACGCATTGACTACAAAAAAAACCAAATACACATTAACTACACAAAAACAAATACACATTAAAACTACACAGAAACCAATACACGTATTGACTTCACAAAATCCAATACACAGTGAAACTACACAGAAACTAATACACGCATTGACTACACAAAAACAAATACACATTAACTACACAAAAACAAATACACATTAAAACTACACAGAAACCAATACACGCATTGACTATACAAAATCCAATACACAGTGAAACTACACAGAAACCAATACACGCAGTGAAACTACACAGGAACCAATTTCTTTTTGAATTCATCTGGAATTATGTAAGGATCTCACCTGACCCACTAGTGTGTAGTTTTTTGCTGCGTGAATGTTATTTGACGGATAACCGTCCGGAATGGTACGCATGAGATAAAATTGTAAGTGTTATATAAGGTTTTGAAGATTTGTTCTTCAGAATTTGTTAACTTTAATTTGTCGAGATCGACAGTTGGTTGTCGTTTGTACGATGGATGAAGTTAATAATCATCATGTTCGTTCCTGAAGTGTATTCGTAACTCTTTACTTCCAACGCAAAGGCTCTGCATTCGTGTAATAAAGATGTCATACATTATATATATAATTTGTAGCCCACCATCATCAAATGATGGCCTAATCAAATGGCCTGTCGTCCCTTTGGTCCCTAGTTGTGCAGATTTATTTATTTATTTTTGAGACTGATCAGAAAACAAAATGGCCGATAGTGGCCATCTTGAATTTGACAGTTAAGTATTGTTATCACTATTTCTCAGTCGTACTGGAGGAATCTTTCTCAAATTTAATTTGTATGTTCCTCTTGGTCTTTAATTTTGCATGTTTTATTTTTGAGATAAAAAGATTGCAGACAGGTGGCCATCTTGGATTTCGACAATTCTATTTTGTCATCTCGATTGAGCTCCTCAGAAAGTACTGGAGGGATCTTTCTTAATTTTTATATATATGTGCCCCTTGGTCTTTTTATTAACAATATCCTTATAGCATTTTGCATATAATTATTAAATTCTTATCCAATAACGTTTGCAATAGTAGCAAATATCGTGTGACACTACAAGGTTTAAAGTAATGTACAAGATTCCCGTTTAGGATTCCAAAATGGGTCTGAGTAGTTACATTTGTAAGGAAAATGAAAAGCAAAAAAGGTAAAAGTTAATCTTTTTGTAGATCTGGTAAAGATCCTTTCATGGTGGGATCCAAGATCCTTTTAAGATCACTTGCTTAACATTAAATGTTCTTCATTTTCAGTGTGAACATAAACCGGGCCAAGGATTAGCATTAGGGAGTTACGTGTGTGTATGTCGGACAGGATTCTACTTTCCTAATACTAGTAATGACGGTCAGTTTTACTCGGGATCTATGCTAGAAAGTGTGTATTTGGAAAAACTCAACAATGGAACCAACTTCACAGGAGAAGGATTTCAGTGTGTGCCGTGTCTCCGTGGCTGTACACAGTGTGTTGATAGCACGCCTTGTATGGCAGACTATAATATTTTACTACGTGGCATACCGCTAGGAATTCAAAGTTTCTGTATCACTGTGACACTTGTTATTGCAGTGGCAGTAATACGACTACGTAAAACCAAGGTAAGTAGCATGCCATAAGTAGGCTGGTACATTAAACATACATGAACGGACATTACGTTGGTGGTTATAAATCTTAAAAAGGGTTTTGTGTCTATGAAATTGGTATTATTATTACATCAAGACTCTCCCGTTAATATTTAAAAAGTTGTAAAGGTTGATATAATTATGGCATAAGAAATGGACAAATTGAGTTGAGAAACACCAGCCACACAAAACTGGAAAACAAAAACGTGAAACAGTTTTTGTCCTCAGATCGCTGAATTAAATCTTAATATTGATTCGCTAGATGTAACTAATGGAATAATTCAACTGATATGTTGCACAGTAGAGTTGCCTACTATGAAATAAAAGGAACCGAAACGAAATAAACTATTGACCTCCAGAAGTTCGTTTGATACAAAATAGAACGAAGCAAAATGAGATGATATACAAAGGTTATATCGATTACTGCTAGTATCTTTGGGTGTTTTAGCTCGCCTGGCCCGAAGAGATGAATGGCTGCCAAGTTTGTTCAAATAAAATATACATATACTATTTATTTTACAACAATTATGAAACAAGTTATTTCAACTTTTATTAATCACTCTTGTTGGCCCGGATATTAGCGCGTGGGGGTCCTAGTTTGGGGGGAAACCGGAGTACCCGGATAAAATCCACGTGGTCGAACATGTGACCCCAACCTTTTCACGTTCGATCGGGGAATCGAACCCCGGCCGCCTTAGTGAAAGGCAAGTGCGCTATCCACTGCACCCCCGACCACTCAATTCAAATAAATGACCTTAACAAACTCTCAAGGTTAGTGGGGTCGATTGTTTGAATATAAACTTTAAACAACTTTTTCTGAAAATCAAAATTACCAAGGCGATGATATCTGGCTATATAGTTATATAGCTAGGTATCGCATGCGTACTTAACCCCTCCGCATTAAAGCCATTTTGGTCTCTGTGGAATAAAGCATATAGATAGATAGATAGATAGCATGCTGGGATGAAGGACTATCAAGTTTGCTCAAATGAAATGACATTGACTAATATCCAAGGTCTCTGAGGTCAAATATGTAAAATTATTCAAACAACTTCTTCTTAATAACGGACAGGCTGAAGGTGACCTCAGATTAATGAACAAAAGATCTTGGGTGATGATATTTGGCAAGTTGCATGCTGGGATGAAGGGTTATAAAGTTTAATGACATTGTTTGACTTTTAAGGTCATCAGGGTCAAATGTGTTTAAATGGTTTAACATATTCTTTTGAATTACTTAGAGAATGACTTAAACACTGATATTTTGCATGTAAGCTGTATTTCAAGGTAACAATTGTAAGATGTGATTAAGGTGAGCGATGCAGGCCCATTGGGCATCTTGTTGTCATTAATCATAAGGATTGATTTTTATTTTTACGGCGTATACGATATTATGAACGCAGTTGGCAACAAACGAATTTTATGGTACGCGTTCGCGCTCAATAAAGAATGTATTCATATGTTGTCAATATGAAGGTCAATCCTTATATTTACATCCAAAAACATGTTTGAATGCTTTACAATAGAGAAAACAGTCGAAACGAGTCGTAACGATGGTAAGTACGGTAGTGCTGGTTGCTAGGATAATGTAGTTTCAGTGGCTAGATATCAAAACTAGATTTAGAAAATACACGGTGAACAACACTATTTTTCTTCTTTTTTCATAACTTTTGAATTTTAAATTACTGAATCTGAGTAACCCTTCGAACGTTTTTGTTCTTTCATAACGGTCGTTACATAAGCGAACTGACATAATGCTCTGGTAGTGACGCGGTCGTTACATACGTGAACTGACACATTGCTCTGGCATTATGTTGTTTGCTTGCAAAGCTGTGTCATTCAAATAGATCATAAATACCATACAAAAACAGTTCAATGCTTAATTATTACTAAACCTTTGAGCTAATAGCTTTAATACTTGAAGTTAAACACTTGTGACAACTGTCTGGATCCATAGCTGACAGATTTTAGGGCACGGAAGAGCGTCAAAGTCTTCAGTTGTTGACGACCAGAGGTGCATTAAGGGCCATTTTTGGCCCCACCTTAGATTTTCTCAATTTTTATACAATACCTACATGGACATATGAGATTTATAAAAAGAAAAAACAGTTTCAAAGAATTCCTACATCGCGTTTCCTAGCAACAGACCTGTAAACCAACCTAGTATATACATTCTACTTGCACATTTGAATTATCTTTAATTACGTATTATAATATTTTATAAAAGTTGTTTGTTCGAAATAGTTTATACATTTTAGCATGACTAGTGTTTAGTTTTAAAGAATCTTTGAGTATATTTTAATGTGACCAAACATCATTTTGATTTTTCCTAGCAACGCATTAACAACCAAGGTTTCTCCATAGCAACGGTACATAATTGCTTTCAAATGGACACAGAAAGTGTTTGATATTACACGATTAAATGATAACATTACAGTAAATATGAAGGTAGCAGAAACAACATATAGTTGATATTCTACAGAAACCATGTCTTGTCTTAGCAACCAAATCCACATCATAGCAACGGTACATGAAATATTTTACAATGGAGACACTGGTGTTGGATATTACAAGTTATAAACTCATATGTTAATATGGGGGGAAAATAGAAAAAAAACATCGATTTTTTAAACATCTTGTTTGTTGCTTTCTTATTGTATTGATATTTTATTTGTCGTTTTACTAAGAGGATGAGAACAATTAAGATTTTGCAAATATTGTGTCGAGTCCTTGCCTAAGTCAAAAATGTTGTCCAAATGACTTGCAATCCCATATACAACACCACTGAAGCAACATGGGAGCAAGTCCCAACAGGTCCTCATGTCTTCTTCCGTCATAACAGGGAAGTCAATAGTACTGCTAGTGTCCATCCTCTGCCACATGCTTGGTCGATTGGCAAGACATTTCGGTCAATTCGTTCCTCTGGAGAGTGTTCTGTTTCTTTGACAGATGCATATTTGAATCAATTAGTTGATCTTTCTCTGCATCTTTCGTGCTAATTGGTGCACAGAACTTGTTGCAGATTGCACACACAATTTGTACGATATCTCCAACGTATGGAATCTGGGAGTTTGGCAGCACACGTTCCAGTTAACCGCTAGTTAACAGCCTATACGCCCCACCTGAAAGATAGTAAATTGATGCATTTTTAATTTGACTGATACATACAGTGTAACGATGCATTTGACATAAGCTTTATCAAAGTAAGTTTGATTTAAACTTTGTCAACTTTCTTCTATATAGATAAGTTCATGCACATCAATTTCTGAAATTGTACTTTACTATATGCTATTCTCACTGGGAGTGTCCTCTTACCATTTTAGTGACATTTAGACAAATAAGTAATTATACATTTATAGGTTATATACATTTAATTAGTGAAGCCAGTCAAGTATCAATCATAATAAGATATTACCTTATTTTTGTAACAACTCGGGGAGCGTTGCTTTCTCCAACTGTGTGTTGTTGTTGGTTTTTTTTTGCAAAAGATGGCATCTCTGTTTGTATTCTTAAGTATTTCATGAGGTCCAGAGAATCCCTAAAACCTCTGTCAACCACACACACCATTTTCCTGAATCTATCCCTTGATCTCTTCAATGTAGGAATTTAAAATCTAATTCAGGATGCTGGCGTTATTGTTTTTCGAATCTGCAAAGTAAGGTCCTAATACAATTACTATGTAACCTGTTGTTGTGACGAACATCAATGGACGGTGCTTATGTATATTGTAGCTCCTCCTTTGGAACATAGACTATATAGGTGCCGTCAATCACAAAACTGACTGGTTCCATTAGTCCTCCAAACAATGTTTGGGTTAGTGGCCTTGTGTGTTTTGAGATGAAATCCTGTCGATTTACACGTTGAAAGCCAAGATCAAACAAAGTCGTTCATAAGTGCAGTCCTTGTCGATGACAAGGAATATAATAGAATAGAATGCACGTCAAATAGAATCTTTACCAATGCTGAACACTGCTGATAGGATCTTGTTTGACATGCCACCCTTTAGTTTAGTAAGAAAGATGCCGACACAATATTTAATGCTCCTGTTTTTGTACGGAACCACCGAAACGAATACACAATTCGTAAAAATGTTGAACACTGAGTCCAGTTAAGATAATGAAATCTTCATCCGAAAGAGCATGTGGTGAGTCGAAATTAGTACGTTTATTTTGTTGGGCATTTTCTTCATCTCTAATGACAGAAATCAAAGCCAGTATGTCGATACGATTTAGCGAGGATATGTCACGTTTTATAGCAAGGTTTTCATTTCGCAACAAACCTTGCTCGATATGATGACCACGACATCTTGCTCCAAATGGTACCAGAATACCTTTTTTCTTATGAACAGGTCGTGTTTTGCGTCACAAGATATTACCACCAGTCTCTTTTGGTACGCAATGCAAACAAAACATGTGTACGGCTACTTCCTGTGAATGGTATTGGCGTGCGGCGTGCTTCTTTACTCACTCCGGGTACTCCCGTCGTGACTCATCCGTACGTTATGTGGTTTTACTCACTTCTGGTGATCACGCCATGACTCACACGTATGGTCTGTGGTTTTACTCATTTCTGATGCTCCAGCCGTGACTCACACGTATGGTATGCGGTTTCACTCACTCCGTAAGCATCAGCCGTGGCTTACCCATACGGCATGTATCAGTATTGACCCCAGGTGTTCCCGTCGTGACTCTGCGTACGGCATGTGTCACTACACGTTCCAGGTGCTAACGCCGTGACTCAGTCGTATGGTATGCGTCACTACTGATGACTCCGGGTGTTCCCGCCGTGACTCCGCGTACGGCATGCGTCACAACTCACTCCGTGTGCTTCCGCCGTGACCTAACAGTATGGTATGCGGTTTTCCTCACTCCGGATGCCTGCGCCGTGACTCACCCATACGGCATGTGTCACCACTGACTCCCGATGTTCCCGCATGAAACAAAACATAAACACAGTCTCCCGTAAACACATCCACACTA